GTAATCCAGAGCCAGAAATTTAGCTTACTTTAAATCTATGTCCTAAAAAGATCTAATCTAGACAATCTAAAGACACACACTTCTAGCACAAAGAGACTGCATTACCTTACGGATCCTGTGCGCACCCCGTTGTCCACTTACACTAACCAACCATGCCTCTACTAAGTCTGCTGGATGAATCTGATTCCCATGTCCTCATGCTCCAAGATATGAACTAGAAAGCTGAGTTCAGAGGTAAGTTTTGGGCAGCATCCTTGCCCGAACTTCTTGATCAGAGAGAATGACTACACAGGGTAATTCAATTGCAGGAAAACAGCAGAGGCTAGAGGCTAATGAATAGTCAGAAAACAACAAGAACAACAAAAAACTACACAACACCTGGAAATGCTCAAGAGAAAGAAGTACAAAGAGAGGAATATGCAAGACAAGAGCAGGTGTTTGCTTCACAGGTCCAGCTCAGCTCACTCCTCCCAAGAGCTAGAAGAACCACCACAGTTCTGAAAGAACTGTGTTCCTTAAGATGTACTAGCTCAGAGAAATCAAAGCTTGACAAGCTGCTTCTCTCCCCAAGACCTACTGTTTCTCTGGACGGGTCTTTTAATTTAACCTCACTCAGTGAGAGGTGCCTTTAGGGAGTCTGGCAATAGAGTACTCGCTCAGGGCCAAATATATCTTCCAAAACTCAGTGGAATTTCTCCCTGCAGCTATCATTAAGGAAAACGCTGCTGGATCTCTGCAGCTATCAGAACAACTTCCCAAGATTCAATCACCTTCATGAGCTACTGGGAATTGTACAAGCTAGGGGACCCAACTTTGCAATTTCCAGTCTGAGTTCTGCCATGCTTCAGAAGGATCCCAAATTTGAAATCTGAGCCCAAATGTTTCACAACTACAAGCTCCTCCCTCTTTTGGGTTTATACACCTCAGGCTTAGATTGTACTTTTCCCTCCATTAAATCCCACCTTATCACCACTTTTAGATACCATCATCATACCCTGTTAAAAGCAGTTCCATGCTGACTCAAGATGAAACAGATGTATCTTGGGTACCTAAGAGGCCTGGAAGGCTCACATTTGCAATCTCCTCGCCTCCGAGGCTTCATTCTTCCTTCCTACTAACACGACTGACCATGCTATCCACAACTGAGGCGTAGCAACTGATAGGAAAAGGGCCAGGCGTAACGAAGGGCAAGCCTTCCAAGAATGGCTGAGAGTAAAGTCCCACAAGGGATCCACTTCGGTCCTAGACTTCTTGACTCTGTCCTCCAAGAAAAAAGGACCTACAGCACTGGGGGCTAAGGAGTGGACAGGGTTTGTGCACTTCTCGGAGGCAGAAAGGTGGGAAAACGGTCACCTACAACTTAGCCAGATTACGGCCATGTAAAAGGGGAGGGTCCCAAGCCTGACCAGTGCAGGCCGACGCCCTTACCCAAACTGACTTCGGAGCAAGCCGGCTGGCGCGGCCCATTCCCAGATCCATCACAGGCGAGTGGCAAGAGGCAGGGTCGGGATCGCCCCGCTTGCCTGCCTGCAAAGCTTGCGGGACCAGGGCAGGCTGAGCCAGGCTAAACGGGGCGGGGCCTTGAGAGCCCCATCCGGGTGGTCAGGACCAGGGAGAAAGGCCAGGCCACCCTGCAGACCAGTGCACACGCGCAGTAGAGACAGGACTGCCCAGATAGGTTCCTGGCGGGTTCTCCCTGCGTTTCCCCCGGCGGCCGCCTCTGAGGACCGGCGGGAGGCGGAGCCGCGTGCGACACATGGCCCCGGCCCCCGCGCGGTTTTAGGCCGCCGAAGGGGGGGGAGGGGAGGAGCCGCCCGGAGACTCGCAGCAGAGGCTCCGGACGGCCCCGAGCGCAGTTCCTGCGGCCCAGCCCCCGCCCCGGAGCACTGGCCCCGACACTCACCCGAGGGGCTGGCACGATGGCGGCAGCGGCGGCGGCAACCCAGCGCGGTCTGCGACCGACTGTCCCTTCCCCCTTGCCTTCCCTCGCTTGCCCCGTTGCACTCTGGGAAACGAAGTCCTTCCGAGCCCCTTTCTGGTCTAGATAGCACCGAGGGGAAACTACAGTTCCCAGCGTGCTACACGGCGAGGCCCACGGACGGCCCGCAGCGCGGGAGGTGAGGCTAAGTCAGGGAAGGAGGCAGTCGGGGCGAGCCCCTGAGAATTGTGGTCTAGCGGAAGCCTCTGGAACACCGGAGGTTGGCGCCAGGCTCAGGTCAGGGCTCAGTTGTCGCCTGGTCCCGGCCGGCTCTGCCACGCCCAGGTTGCTCTGCAGATGGAGGTTAGCTCCGCCTCCGTGGAAGCCGAGCCTGCCCCCAAGCTGGTCCTCTGCCCCTCCCTGGGCCTCAGGGCTGTTTCCGCTCGCGAAACCCCCTCCCCTGGAGGGCAGCTGGCCAGGGCCGAATCCACCACTGCTATCTCAGGATTCGAGCTTCCAGGCCCAAGGGCTAATCTCACCCAAAGCTGGTTTCTGGCAGGCGCTGAAGTATTCCTCTAGTGCCTGTAGGCGCCCCTCCTCTCACACTTGGTTCTCCACAAAAAGTAAGAGGGGTTTTGTACCAAGGAAGTTCAATGTTTACTATTTTAAAAATATAATTGATGCACCAAAAGTTCCCCAGTTATTTAAATGGCCAAACTGAAGAATGCCCCTCTCACCCGCCGCCCATTCAATAAAGGATCATTGTTTCTTTGGCGACACCAACGTGTATGTAGAAAAAGACCTGTCTCTAGGCCTCAGCTAACCCAGGGGACCCGGGTAGTAAAGAAAATAACCTGCCTTCTCCAGCCCACATGGGCGGAGATATTCAGTATGGTATTTCTGTTCTTCCAAGAATACTTTTCCAGCTTACCACTCCCTCAATGGCTAGGGAAACAAGGCCCAGGTTCTATTTAATAATCCCAGGTTTGGCCTGACTAGATGTTTACCACCAAGCCAGAAGAACTCTGCATTTTCCTGCTTCAGGTACTCAGAGCTCTTCTCCAAGAAGCTAAAAGCACTGCAGAGGTTGTGTTCATGTAACATCCAGATATCAAGGATCCTGGCCTTCACACTGGCATCTTACCTAAGAATGCTGCTGAGGTTCCAGGGTCTAAGCAGAGAAACAGTACTTTCAACAAACAAGAGCTAAAGTTCTGGTAACTGCTCACAAAGGGTGTCCTTGGTATGCATTCACCCTCTACCACCTCAAGATCAGGCTGAGTTAATCCTAGGTCCTCCCTAAACCAGGCCCCAACACCACCTCTCCCTACCCCCATTGTCATCAGAGACTTCCCTGCTCAGTGTCAAAGCACCAGTGGAGTGTTTTGAGCTGAGGCTTGGCAGCCACAGAAGGAAGTCTCCAAGTAGGTAGGTGGCTTTATCCCCAAGTGCCACAGTAAAAAATCTTGCTTTACAGAACACAGAAAGTATCCACTTATGCCCTAGCATCTATAAAAACTTACCTCTCCCCACTGGCTTTGACTTGATTTGAAGCTGTAACAAAGTCACTCTATTCCCCCCCCCCCCAATCTACAATCTAAAAAAGAAAGCAACCACCAAAAAATCAAGCAGCACAAATCCCAGCTTCTCTTCCTTCAAACCCCTACTGGATCCAGCTCATGACACTTTTTACTAAGGAAAAAAGGTATTCCTACAAGATTTCTTTGACTCTAAGAGCCATGGCTGGCTCGGCTGTGGTCTTTATTGGATTATTAAGCAACTTCATACTCATGAGGGACAGACACAGAGGAAAGGAGCTCTGATGCCCTAGTCCATAGGTGCACTGCTAACCCAAAAGTAGCACCTCTGACGGTTTGAATCCACCATCAGCTCCTCGGAAGGCATGTCATAGCCTCCGATGCGATCTACAGACTCAGAAAACCTGTTGTGGTCAGTTATAAGTTGGTTTTAACTCAATGGCAGTTAGAGCTTTTTTGAAGCCTAATCTTAAGAAATTTAATGGTGAACAAAATCCAGCTGTGATTGAGAATTTAAAACCCTTAGAAAAAAACTACGATGCCACAATTCAGCATAATTTCTTCATCACTGTTGAAAAGATACAGGGATATAACTGATAGACAATCTGGGACCATTTGATAGTGCAGTTTTCAGGTTCTTTAGGATAAGCTTGGTCAGGAACTCTAATGATGCATTTATGAAAACCAGGATCTACATGCTTAGGTCTCCCTTACGGAGAAGCCTGGTCAAGAAACCATGTCTGCCTCCGGGATCAGACTGGTCCTTCAGATGAAAGGCCTATTTCCCTTTGGTTGAAAGACACTGAGCCCTTAGAAAAATAAAGCGCAAACTCAAATAAAAACCTTACTTTCTGTTTAATCTGTTTTGCCAAACAAACACAGTGAAAACTTTAGTCTGACTAATTGTACAGAAAATAGAATTTGTAACCAGTAGCAAACATTAACAGGATAAACCTAAACCCCTGGCAAGCTGGATCTCCCAGATTGGCAAGCAGGTCACCAGATCCCCTCACAGACCAACTCCCAGGGGAGGAGGTCCTGGGAGGCAGAGGCACAGATCTGCCAGTCCCCGTCAAAATCACAGGCAGCACATGGGAAGAAAAAGCAGGAAAAGAAGAACTGATGTTATTTAGATCTCTTATCACTACACACAGAAGAGCTGTCTCTGATTGCTGGCCAAGCTCAAGG